AAAACTGCTGAAACCTGACGTCAATATTTATATCAATACATTATAATAACTGTCGACTTATTAGTTGCAAAACATGCAATAACATTCAGCTGTACTTCCCGGCATGAAAATGTGTAAAATATGTTAACTTTCTATGCCTCTTTGATCACCAACAGTCGAACAGGCCCATAAGAGACCCGTAGACGCCTCACACGTAACTCTGAGCTTTACAAATTATTCTTTCCACTCTCGATTGATTGATTCAGATTACGCCACCACAAGATGTGGCACGGGCCTGAGTGGTGTAGGTGTTTGGAGTGAATGTGGTCTTTGGTAGTGTAACATTTTGAAGTGTCTCTCTTGGCCTTCCTGCCCATCCACACTCATGTTCTTGAAGGTGGAGAATATTGCATCCTGCGAGATGGGGAATTTTAATGTCATACGGTACAGGTAACTCGTGACCCAAGCTTTGTATCACTTCATATAGTACAGGGGACGAGTATGAATAACCAGGTATTTTGGTTAATACTAATAATAAAGTACTATTTCAAACTTTGTAATGTAGGGTCGTTATTTCTCTCGGTTAATCGTCGTTGGATGTTTTGTTTGGGTGGTACAGAATACTACGACTTTGGACTCCTGTTTGACCCAGGCTTAGTGCTCCCATTTCGTCTTACAATCAGCTAGTTTTACATTGAACACGATCCACCAATTATTTTACAACCAGGTCTTAAATTACTGCTGAGTGAACAGAAGAGATCAGTTGAGGATCGGTGCCCAGTATTCCCACCCTGTCAAGGTCTCAAACCCGACCGAAATCGCCCTGATTACTAGCTGATTAATCTTCATGACTATAATAGCATAAATTAGTCTAAACCATTTCTGTCTCCGACAATGGAAAATAAGGGGGCATATTAAAGTACTATATATAGCCTGTCAGTATAATACATTTTAAATATTTTGTTTATTAGAATTTCCTTAGTCAGCCCCATAAGTTTGCAAAGTAACGTTTTCTTTTAAAAACGTTTTCCTATTCACATGCTCACGTGAACGGTAACTGAGCTTCTATTGTTGGGGTTCAGCTTTTGGGTCCATTGTGTTTCTGTAACCCTTCCCCGTCGCTTTCAGCATGGCTCATGGAAAGGGATGGGGGGGAGGGGCTTTGACAAGCCACCGGCTTCCTGGTCCCGACGAGGTCACTAAATATGGTGGCCCTTGGATAAATTCAGCTGCGCCCTGCGCCCATCCGTGCAGGGCCTTGGCCCTCACTTTGGGACCCAGTGATCTAGAGTATGCACTGTACTGTGTCCTGGATGACTCCTTGTTCGGATTCCTGGAGGAAGCCATGACTTCCGCCGACCCCCTGGCGTGTACTGGTACTCTGGGCGATCCCCTGGGGTATACTGGTACTCTGGGCGATCCCCTGGGGTGTACTGGTACTCTGGGCGATCCCCTGGGGTGTACTGGTACTCTGGGCGATCCCCTGGGGTGTATTGGTACTCTGGGCGATCCCCTGGGGTGTACTGGTACTCTGGGCGATTCCCTGGCGTGTACTGGTACTCTGGGCGATCCCCTGGCGTGTACTGGTACTCGGGCCGACCGAGTAGCTACAGGTAAGGAACAGCGCATCAGTGAGCACTCCAATTGTAAACTGCGTGAACAAGGGCTGGAATACCCTCTACAGCACTATACTCGTGAGTGCCCAGTTATCAGTGACTTCAGACCAAATGACATGAGATGCTTTGAGCTCTGTAACTATTTCATGTTCTCGAATATTAGGTATTCTTGAGCTCTATCCAGAGTTTGCTATCTTGGTTATCTTGAGATGATTTCGGGGCATTTTTTTTTTTTAGTGTCCCCTCGGCCCGGTCCTAGACCAGGCCTCCACCCCCAGGAAGCAGCCCGTGACAGCTGACTAACACCCAGTTGCCTATTTTACTGCTAGGTAACAGGGGCAGGCTAGTAGCCTAGACTCGCCTCTCATATTTTATCCTAATGCCCAACCACTTGGGCTGGACGGTAGAGCGACGGTCTCCCTACATACAGGTCAGCGTTCAATCCCCGACCATCCAAGTGGTTGGGCACCATTCCTTCCCCTCCGTCCAATCCCAAATCCTTATCCTGACCCCTTCCAAGTGCTATATAGTCGTAATAGCTTGGTGCTTTCCCCCTGATAACTCCTGATTCCTTGTATAACTAACCATCCTGTGATATGGAATGTTAGATAAACTTTAATCTAGGTTTTGATCCCTAGTGTAGAATGAGGGAGCAGCGTACTACTATGTACCTAGGCTTCTTAACCATAGATTCGCAGAGACATTATTATGCGTTAGTGTGGCTCTCAGAACAGTACTAAGAGTTAATAATACACACAGTAGATCTGTCCCCCTGACATTCCGCACCTGTGATGTGAACTGAGTCACGATGTGCTAGCACTAAGCTCTAAACAAAGGATTAGTTGTCAGGGCTGAGTAATGGGGTCCACCTGCAGCTGAAACGCTTCGTATCAGCCGACTGTGAGAGCACTTGAGCGTTTACTGTTTGTATCAAGTGATAGCGCACGCGGTCGTCTTTGTTTACAGTCGCCAGCTGATAGCATCTCTTTGTTTTATGTTATCAGCTGAGCGCGAGGCTGATTAAGATATTGCCGTTATCCCCGGCGTGTGTAATTACCTAAGTGTAGTTACCTAAGTGTAGTTACAGGATGAGAGCTACGCTCGTGGTGTCCCGTCTTCCCAGCACTCTTTGTCATATAACGCTTTGAAACTACTGACGGTCTTGGCCTCCACCACCTTCTCACCTAACTTGTTCCTTGTGTGTGTGTGTGGAGGGGTGGGGTGTTGGAGGGTGTTGTGGGGGTGTAGTGGAAGAGGTGTTGTGGGAGAGGGTGGTATGGTAATTACGTAAGGACTCGGGCTGTCTGTCCCTCCATCTCCTCGTCTACAAATTAAGTTATGCTATGGTGTTGTTTCTCTTATACATACGCGCACACACATAACTACGGGAATTAAACCTCACGTCACTGGAAGACAGAAGAGTTAGGGGCGACATGATCACCACATACAAGATTCTCAAAGGAATAGAGAAGAGAAGGATTATTTCACACAAGGGGCACACGCACTAGGGGACACAGGTGGAAACTGAGTGCCCAAATGAGCCATAGAAACATTAGAAAGAATTTGTAGAATTTGTTTAGTGTCAGAGTAGTTAATAAATTAAATGCATTAGGAAGTGATGTGGTAGAGGCTGACTACATACAGTTTCGTGTGGATATATGATAGACCCCAATAGGCTCAGGAATCTGTACACCAGATGATTGACAGTTGAGAGGCAAGACCAAAGAGCCAGAGCTCAACCCCCCACAAGCACAACTAGGGGAGTACAACTAGCTCGGTTTTACATCAACAAACACTAACCTAAATAAGAATTATTTGTCAACGTCCTTTAAGCTCTCAACTTGTCACATATATATCGTAAATAAATACCTGCATCGACACTTAGGCGACCAAGAGGTTAAGATATACTTTTATCAGTACATTAAGCGAGGGGAAAATTATAAACATTTTCCACCACTGGATCATTTTTTATTCCACACATATAAAAAAATATTATTTACAAGGAGCATAGATATCTACACTATATACACGGGCGACCGACACCCAAAGTCTTTTGTGGTTCTTTCGCTACACCTTCGGTACTCTGGCTCCCGGGCTACGCTTTCCAACGCTCTCGGTAGCTCCTAGGCTACACCCTCAATGGTCCCAGGGCTACACCCTGCAGCACCCTCAATGGTCCCAGGGCTACACCCTGCAGCACCCTCAATGGTCCCAGGGCTACACCCTGCAGCACCCTCAATGGTCCCAGGGCTACACCCTGCAGCACCCTCAATGGTCCCAGGGCTACACCCTGCAGCACCCTCAATGGTCCCAGGGCTACACCCTGCAGCACCCTCAATGGTCCCAGGGCTACACCCTACTGGACGGGTGAAGTTCTAATACACACAAGACCTAAAACTACTTTATGTCATATTAAGGGCTCTGAACTGTGCTATTTGCCACACCAGTGTCTCCTGCAGGGCATGTTGCGGGCCCCATAGCTCTCTCTCAGGCTATGTTGCTTAACCCAAGAGTGTTTCAGGGCGTGTTGATATACACACAACAACATCCAGAGTACACCCAACTGAACCCATTCAATATGGACACTCAAGGGACAGTCATCACTGAATGTTCCCCCGGAGTTATCCACACACAGCCGTTTTCAGCAATCCTTTCTTTCACATGTGTGAAGCCAATCCACATTCAAGGCCAACCAGACCAAAGACCTTGGCACTAGAGACCTTGGCACTAAAGACCTGGCTCTCTTGACGTCTCAAGTTGCGGCTCCCAAGATTCCTTGTGATTTGATTGGTATAACTTTGGCAAGGACGGCGGCATGCAACAAGACACTGAACCACGAGCAGGTCTTTGCTTACTCAAATTTTCTTTGGAGATCAATGGTAAATGCCCTTCTACATACACGCACACACACATACACAGGGCGCTGGAGATCGTGCACAATTTTCGGTCCAATTATGCAATATTACAGTTGAATAAAATATATCCTCAAATATACAGGATATTGGGTATTGAGCACACTAGATCCTGGACGATACAGACTCAAGATATACAAAACACTGATCACATTACATGATGTACAAGTGAAGCACTGGTCATACTGTACAAGGGATTGGACACTGGACAAATTTATTATGTACACACTAAGTACTGGATATGCTGAACATACTGGCACGAGACATACACGCGCGTGCGCGATTTACGTAAAATACTGACATACCTTTTGTAATTTACAATCATGCTTAAGGGGCCCCAAAATACACTTGTTTCATATCGATGAAGAATGGTCGTATAGGACATGAAGATGGCTGTTATGTGAGGTCAAAGGTTATATGACCTAACAAGTTGTCGGGTAGACAGACAGACGGTACACATTGTGTAGTGGTGTTGTGTGTGTGGGTGTGTGTGTGTGTGGGTGTGTGTGTGTGTGTGTGTGTGTGTGTGTGTGTGGGTGTGTGTGGGTGTGTGTGTTTAATGCAGTTATTATTAATCACGTTAAAGTAAGTGTTTCACTTTAACATATGTTTTACGAGTAAATATAACTTCAATAATAGTTATATACATACTATATAGTAAATCTAATCTAATTGCATGCAAACTCGTCTCGTTGTGTGAATAGCAATAATATGTACTGTATATGTAGTGCACTATTTAAAACTATATACGTGTTGAAACAAGGATCTGGGGCATCGACATAAGCATGAAAATGCACATTTGACATACATCTTATAAACTTTAAAATTGTATATATATATATATATATATTTCATCCTATTTCTCCTATGACTAGGAACTGGTGACCAAAACGTTCATTCAGGCACTACGGTGAGGAAAGGGAGGGAGTGAGTGATGGGAGAGAGGATGGAAGAGAGACAGAGGACTTGGAAAGGTGGATAAACAGGGAGTACTAGAGAGGTGGGAGCGGGGAATCTTTAAGAAAGGGAGTACAGAGGAATCCGAAAGTGATGGAGATCTTTATAGCTTGGGAAGATAGATTGAAGCTAGAACGGGTATGGTAGTCTGTGCAACTATGGTAATAGTTTCTGAATAGTTGCATTACTGGGCTGCAGCCATTGATGAAGGCTATGGCAAGGTGGGAGTGGCATGGTGGCACAGTCCTCCCTGCCTTCCTCTCTCGCCCTTATTCTAGCCGCTCGGGGAGGCGCTGCGCCGCCGGCGTTTGTTTTCTCCCGGCGCATCGTCGGCGGAGTCCCTCCACGGCGCCAGATGGTGCTGGTGCGCCCTCTGGGAGTGGGACCGACGAAGGCGCCGCTCCACGTGCTGCAGACGCTCCAAGGTGTCCGTCAACCTGAGGTCGAAGGTCAGCTGCTGGGCGCGGCACTGCGCGACAGTGATGTCGTGATCCAGCTTCCGGCCCTCCAGCGCTGCCGTCTTGAGGGTGATCTCGTCGAGGTGTCGCGACACGCCCTGTAGGTCCGAGCGTAAGGCGGAGGTGTCGTCGTGGGCTGCGCGAGCGTCTTGCTGGCCACTCTGTCGTTCCGCCGCCGTCTGGGCCACCGTGAACTCCATCTTGGCCACCTCTTGCTTGACCTCCGCCACCTCCTTCTCCATCCGGGCCTCCAGAGCCTCCAGCGCGGCCAGAAGCTTTACCGAGGACGACCTCACTTCTCCTACTCCGGTCGTCGCCGCCTCGGCTTTTGTTTCCAGTTGGCGCTCCGCCTCGGCCAGTTCCGCAACTCGCTCCTCGACTCCTGAGCCAAGCGAGAACGACGACAACTGCGAAGAGAAATAAGATATATTAGGAGTGCGACCCAAATCTGCGGAGAGAACTTAATACACTTAATACATAAATGAATCAAATTCAGCAAAGCAAATCAATGTAATTGTGATATTTTTAGATAATTTCCAAAATATCTCAAAGGGCATAAGAATGCGTCATAATTCTTTGCAATATTTTATATTTCAATAGAATCTTACACTTCATTTGCATATTACTGAAAGTGTGTGATTTGCTATTGTCTGAAATATTTGCATATATTATTATTTTATACGGGGCAGTCAAGAGCAGAGGGCCGGGGGATGGTTACTCACGGGGCTCTCTCTTAGTTCGCATAGTTTAGTGCGAACTAGAAATTTTATAGTTCGCATAGAAAATTTAGAATTTTTGCGGTTTTGATTGTATCATAGTTTCATGGATTTATTACCTCTTTGAGAGGATGGTATATCCTCCTACCCTTTCAACACTGAGGCTTTGGGGGAGATTGAAGCTGGATAATATTAAGTTCAGTTGAACTTGAAGTTGGTGAGCTTAAAACTGTGCCATCGTGTACTCATCTAGTTGTGCTAGCGGGGGTTGAGCTTTAGCTCTTCGGTCTCGCCTCTCAACCGTGTGGTGTGGTGTGAGTGGACCTTCTGTGGTCTCTAAATGCTTGGGTAAGATTCGTGTAGCATTTACAGGACTTTTCAGCTTCTGGCGACCATTCACTCTACTTTATATTTCTACTTTTACAAATACAATTTATTGTTTTTGTTTCGAATTAACCCGATGTAGGTAAACTACTGATACCAACTATAAGAACTATTTTTTTTTTAGTTGTACTGAACGGGGTGAGAATAGTTTGAGCCATCTCACCCCTTTGTATGTATTTATACCTCAATGAACTCATTTCAATTCCAGTTACAGCCCCGCTCTTGTGCCAGGTAAGTCCACTACGGGCTCACCATAGCCCGTGCTGCTTAGAACTTTTTGTTCCTAGAAGCTGAATCTTAAACAACAACATTTCAATTTCAATCCCGCCTTAATTGGGACCGATATTCTCAAGAATTTGAGGTAAACAGCGTACAAAACACTTTGCATTAAATCAGAGGTGCTGGATAGACCTTAAGGTAGACTAGTGGATCCTTACCTTCTTCTGGGCGCGGGTGAGGGCGAAGTCGAGGCTGTCTGCCCGCTGCTCCAGGGCGGCTACACGCTGCTCCTGACGCAGCTGGGCGGCGCGAGCCACTGCCGCAGCCACTCCTCTCGTCGACGACGCTGCCGCGGCTCCTGCTTCAGACTTCTGCGGGAGAACACGATAGGTTTAGTGTCGGGTCTCGGTGCAAGGGCATCTGTTCGCACTGCTCCTGCCCCAGCCACCATTACTACAGCCATGGCTTCTACTTGGGTAATATCTGTTCAAGTACCAGTACTCTTACTACTCTGTAGGCTACCGCAAGTCCGCAAAACATTTGGTACTCATTTGCGTATGAACAAACTAGTAACATATGTATGTTCATATATATTATTTAACCTTTGTTAATTTCCTCTGTCGTTTAAATTTCCTATTTGTATATTTATTTCGTGTTCCCCATCTCCTATTTCACTTTCCCTCCTTCTCTCTCTCTCTCTGTTACTTCTTCCTACGGGTTCTTTTGCTCGTCGTCGCAGTGAGCGGCGACAGGCAGCGGGTGGCCTAGGCTGCCTGCGGCGGGGCGCCATTCCTCTGCGGCAGGTGTTGGTTAGGGACGCAGGCGGCCGCTGTCCTTCGCAGTGTGTACCCCCCCCCCCTCCCCCATACCCTTGGGCAGGCCCTGGTCCTGCCCTAGTGTTCCTGCCCTAATGTTCCCGCCCTAGTGTTCCTGCCCTAGTAGCCCTACTCTCTTGCTCTCGTTGTCCTCGTCTCATTTCACCTTTGTTTACTATAAATTTTGTCGAGGGAACAGAAAGACAAAACCAAACTAACATTCCTAGGCCTAGTATAGCACATATATGTATTATATTCTGCCTAATACAGTATATTTTAGGCCTTGGCTAGCTGGAACATATTAGGTTAGGGATTTTAATTACATTTTCATTTTTGTATAGAATGCCCATTTCGGCTAATTCGACCAGCTAACTGCTGGTCTACTGAAGTGACCCGCTGTCCAATCACCATCGGCAGGTGTCGGCAGCCTAGAGAGGATGGGAGGAAGGCAGGAACACAGATGGAGAGAATCAGGTTGACAGTTATATAAAGGATAAAATGTGAAACACATTTTGGGAAGACGGGGAGGAGAGGAAAAGTAGGCTAAGATTAAATGTGTAAGGAGGTTATCTTGAGATGATTTCGGGGCTTTAGTGTCCCCGCGGCCCGGTCCTCGACCAGGCCTCCACCCCCAGGAAGCAGCCCGTGACAGCTGACTAACTCCCAGGTACCTATTTACTGCTAGGTAACAGGGGCATTCAGGGTGAAAGAAACTTTGCCCATTTGTTTCTGCCTCGTGCGGGAATCGAACCCGCGCCACAGAATTACGAGTCCTGCGCGCTATCCACCAGGCTACGAGGCCCCGAGGAGAAGGGAGAGAGGAGAGAAATGTGGAAGACTTGAAGGAGAGAGGAAGCAGGTGTAGGCCGGGGTGAGCGCCCGTGAGACGGCGTGTGTTGCTTAACCTTGGTGACTCCGCCAGGCAGGTGTTGGGGCGGGGCATGACGGCTCCTGCAGGTGCTAGACGAGACTGGACTGGCCGGGGGTGTGGGGAGTAGGCTTAGGGGAGGGGACAGACTAACATGAGGGACGATAGTCAAGCGGGGAAAGTATTTCGTAAACATTCGAGCGAGAGTGAAGCATTCCTGAACTGCTGAACGGGTCAAGTGACAATTACCAGACGAGACGCTGGTGAGGGAGGTAGACTTGTCCTCTGCCTCCCTCACCACCCCCATCCCCTCACACGGATGCCCTAATACCAACCCACAGCCCACTCGTCTACCCCTTCCCCTCACTTTTTCCCCCTCACGCAGAGCCCAACACCAGCCCATACGCCCCTCAACTCTCCCCCTCACTTAATCGTCCCAATAACGTCTTCCTGGTAGGAATCACCAGTAAACGAAACGGACTGTACGAGGAGGCCGCTGAGGCACCTTCAGTTAATAACTTCTAAAATTAAATACGGTGAGAAACGTGAATTTCCCGATCAGAAGTAATGGTGGGACCAGGGAATTATTGCTTGACCCTATTAGCACATCTAATAATGCACATAAATTATCACACATAGATACGCACGCGTGCACGCGAGTGCGCATACACACAGGGAGCCGAGTGCACAGTGTTGTACTCGGCTGAGTACACAGTGTTTAGGGAGCGTAGTCCTAACGGCCCGGGTTCGATTCCCGGTGGAGGCGGAAACAAATAGGCAGAGTTTCATTCCCCCCCTGATGCTTCTGTTCACATAGCTGCTAACTCCCAGGTACCTATATACTGCTATGGGCTGCATCCTGGGGATGTGTGTGTGCGAGAGAGAAAAATACGTAGTAAATATGATAAAATAGAACTATGTCGGGAGTCAGTACATTAGACAACCGAGGGTTAGAAAGGCGGGGTCCAAGAGCTAATAGCTTCATTCTGGGGGCATACATAGTAAATATGCGCGCGAACATAAATTGTGAGGAATCAGAGCAGGTTCCCGGCTCCTCACTATGTTAGTATGGGGCGAAGCACACCACCTCACACACACACACACACACACACACACACACACACACACACACACACACACACACACACACACACACACACACACACACACACACACACACACAATATATATATATATATATATATATAAATATATATATATATATATATATATATATATATATATATATATATACATATATATAGCCAGAACTCATAGCCTATATATAATATATTAATATATTTACTATAATGAAATGAATCGCATCAGAACCTAACCAACCCTACCTAACCTAACCTAACCTATATTATAGATAAGGTCAGGTTAGGTAGCCAAAAAAAGCTAGGTTAGGTTAGGTTAGGTAGGTTAGGTAGACGAAAAAACATTAATTCATGAAAACTTGGCTTATTAGGCAAATCGGGCCTTGAATAGTAGGCTGAGAAGTGCGTTCTGGCTATTAGGTACGACATATATATATATATATATATATATATATATATATATTAATAATCGCATCAGTCGAGCACAAACGCGTGTTCTAGATAAGAACGAAATCATGGATAAGCGTAAATTATGCGTAAGTTTCCAGCCAAGGTCAAGGTGATTACATTAATGACCGACTAAACTGTTGTTGATGGTGATGGTGCACAAGCCGTCGAGACAGGGTAATTGGTGCTAATTACACAGCCTTCTGTCTCGTAACATGGGGAGCTCCGATTTTTTTTTTCTCTCTCAATACTAGCTTGAAGGATGAGAAGCCTGAGTGATATGATAATGGTTCAGAACGGAACGACACGTCGTCGTCCTCTCCACATCTTCTGGTGTGTGTGTTGACCAGACGACACACTAGAAGGTGAAGGGACGACGACGTTTTGGTCCGTCCTGGACCATTCTCAAGTCGATTGTGTGGTGTGTGGATTGGTTATCGTATCTTTAGCCACGTTATTGTGACTCATCGTCTGTATGGTTTGGATGTGTGTGTGTAGTGTATATAGTGTGTAGTGTGTGCACAAGTGTGTAGCGTGTGTGTGTGTGTAGTTGTACTCGCCTAGTTGTGCTTGCAGGGGTTGAGTTTTGGCTTTTTGGTCCCGGCTCTCAACTGTCGATCAACTGGCGTACAGGTTCCTGAGCCTACTGGGCTCTATCATATCTATATTTGAAACTGTGTATGGAGTCAGCCTCCACCACATCACTGCCTAATGCATTCCATTTGACAACTACTATGACACAAAAAATATAAATTCTAATGTCACTATGGCACATGTGGACACTCAATTTCCACCTGTGTCCCCTAATGCGTGTGCCCCTTGTGTTAAACTGTCTTTATCAACCCTATCAATTCCTTTGAGAATCTTGTATGTGGTGATCATGTTCCCCCTAACTCTTCTGTCGTCGAGCGACGTGAGATTTAATTCCCGTAGTCTCTCCTGGGAGTATATATGCAACCCGTTCTCGCAAATTTAATAAGTCAATATTGACTTATTAAATATGTGCATAGGTGACATACTTAACATAATAGATACCCTTAAAAAGATTCATAGAAAACACCGACCTTACCTAACCTTGTTAGTATCTTAAGATAAGCATGTTATTGCTTCGTAATTACAATTATTACCTAACCTATACTATGTGTGGGTCCGCTGACGCCCATGCAGTCGTTCATGCCCCATTCAACCATTTTCCTACAGACTTACGGACTCTTATATTGTATTATACAAAAATAATACAATATCATTCATGCCGGGAAGGACCAGTGGGCTCGGACGAGGCCGGATGACTATCGCTCGGTCGTTGCCTTTCATTAGAAATTAAATAACTTCTGCAAATTTTGAATGTTTCTGGGGACTTAAAAGTCTCGGCTTTGTGTTTGTGCGGTGTATGTAGTGGACGACCCCCGGGTGGGGGGGGGGGGGGGGGTAGGGGGGACGACCCCTGGGTGGGGGGGTAGGGGGAGACGACCCCTGGGTGGGGGGGTAGGGGGAGACGACCCCTGGGTGGGGTGCTGGGGAGGTGGTGGTGGTGGTGGGGGGAGGGAATGATGCTGTCAGCGTAAGGGCAGCAGCTGTCAACTATTCGGTGTCAACTAGTCCGTCGTTTTGCTGTTGAATAATCGAGGAACTTTCAGTCACCGTCATCGTCACCGTCATCGTCACTGTTGTTGTCACAGTCACCGTCACTGTCGTCGTCACCGCCGCCACACGTCTCGTCTAATTAATGACACCTGCCTCCATCACCTGCCATGACGCATCTCTCCTCGCCCCTCCCTCTCCTGGCAGCCTTCACCTCCACCTCACCCACCTCCCTGGAGTTTGTCCTCCGTCCCTCACTGGTGCTTGTCCTCCCTCCCTCACTGGTGATTGTCCTCCCTCCCTCACTGGTGATTGTCCTCCGTCCCTCACTGGTGATTGTCCTCCCTCCCTCACTGGTGATTGTCCTCCCTCCCTCACTGGTGCTTGTCCTCCCTCCCTCACTGGTGCTTGTCCTCCCTCCCTCCCTCACTGGTGCTTGTCCTCCCTCCCTCCCTCACTGGTGATTGTCCTCCCTCACTGGAGCTTGTCCTCCCCCCCCCCTGCCCCTCCCACCCAGAGAGGACAACACACAGGCCTCACCACTCCAGCTCCACACACACACACACACACACACACACACACACACACACACACACACACACACACACAAGCACCATAATATCAGCAGTAAATGAACAATTTGCAGAGCCTTAGGATAGCCTCTAGGATATAAAACGACGATTTCTTTAAAAAGCCTATACACAACCTACGTGAGACCAGTGCTAGACCATGCATCACCGGCATGCAACCTACCTCTACCCCACCCACCACAGCCCCCTTTATACTATCTTGAGGTTATCTTGAGATAATTTCGGGGCATAGCGTCCCTGTGGCCCGGTCCTCGACCAGGCCTTCTTTTTGTTACCTTCCCCCCCAGCAAGCAGCCCTTAGCAGCTGTCTAACTCCCAGGTACCTATTTACTGCTAGGTGAACAGTTGCATCAGGGTGAAAGAAACTCTACCCATTGGTTTCCGCCTCCGCCGGGGATCGAACCCGGAACCTTAGGACTACGAATCCCGAGCGTTGTACACTCAGCCGACAGGCCCCTCGACAATATAACAATAACAGTCATTACTGCATAGTGTACCCACCTCGCCAGGCGTCCCCGGCGGGGAGGTCGGGGTGCCAGCCACTGTTCCCTCCGGCAGCGCCTTCAGCAGGTCGTCGAAGTCCTCGCGGACGGTCGCCACCTGCGGGAAGGAAGGTATACCTGTCAGGGACACGTCTTGGGGGGGAAGGTATACCTGTCTGGGACACGTCTTGGGGGGAAGGTATACCTGTCTGGGACACGTCTTGGGGGGGGGGGAAGGTATACCTGTCTGGGACACGTCTTGGGGGGGAAGGTATACCTGTCAGGGGACACGTCTTGGGAGGGAAGGTATACCTGTCAGGGACACGTCTTGGGGGGGAAGGTATACCTGTCAGGGGACACGTCTTGGGGGGAAGGTATACCTGTCAGGGACACGTCTTGGGGGGGAAGGTATACCTGTCAGGGGACACGTCTTGGGAGGGAAGGTATACCTGTCAGGGACACGTCTTGGGGGGGAAGGTATACCTGTCAGGGGACACGTCTTGGGGGGAAGGTATACCTGTCAGGGACACGTCTTGGGGGGGAAGGTATACCTGTCAGGGGACACGTCTTGGGGGGGAAGGTATACCTGTCAGGGGACACGTCTTGGGGGGAAGGTATACCTGTCAGGGACACGTCTTGGGGGGAAGGTATACCTGTCAGGGGACACGTCTTGGGGGGGAAGGTATACCTGTCAGGGACACGTCTTGGGGGGGAAGGTATACCTGTCAGGGACACGTCTTGGGGGGGAAGGTATACCTGTCAGGGGACACGTCTTGGGGGGGAAGGTATACCTGTCAGGGACACGTCTTGGGGGGGAAGGTATACCTGTCAGGGACACGTCTTGGGGGGGAAGGTATACCTGTCAGGGACACGTCTTGGGGGGGGGGGGGAAGGTATACCTGTCAGGGACACGTCTTGGGGCTTCTTGTCTGAATATCTAATTAATGGAAATGTCTTCCTATCACCCCCAGGCTATGGAGGACATGTATGAGAATAAGATAACGATATGTTTATGATAACGATGTGATAATAAATTAATTGTACTAATTATTATAATAATTATTATTCAATACATTGTAACACAAATATTTTGTATTAACACTTTGTATTCCTCGGCAAGTAAGACCATAACCAACAAAGATAGCCATTAGAAATCAAAAGTTAGCAGACAGATAGATCTGCTAACGATAGATCTGCTCCGATAGATCTAGATTACCCCCACTGAGGAAGGGGGAGCTGGGGCCCAGAGGGACATGTGTTGAGCGGGGCAGACATCCAGGGGGAGATGATCCGCTGGAGGGATATTCTACACTACAGCTTGGGCAGTGTGTGGAGGTCCGCCGCGACCTGGCCAGCATCTGCTGTGTAACTGGATGCTGGAGGCTGTTTACAGCCCCGGCACGCGGCTCTTCATCACAACACAGAACAGCAGCGCAAGAATTCGTTTTAATGCTGGAGAAGCAAGTTTGAGTATGGAGTCGTGCCAACGCCAGAAGAGGTAGCAGCAGAAGCAACAGAAACAACAGCAGCTGTTGTAAAAGCAGTGTCAGGATTACAAGCAGGAGCAGCAGCTGTAGGACCATCAGGACTGTAGACTCACGTTGCCAGGTGGGGCTGTAGAGAGGGGTGGGGGCTGACGCTTGCGCAAGAACACCCACCCATACCCCCATACCCCCTCTCACTCATACCCATACCCCCCTCCCCACACACTCGCTCTCATAACCCTAACACCCACATACGGCTTCCATAATCTTATAAAACCCACACTTTACACAGACCCACGCCAAACCCATGTGGGCCCCCTAACAGAAATAGGCTCTTTACAAGATCTTTTCATAGCATGATGCATTCCAGCCCACGTCTTCGGATACTCTATCTATCACGTATCATCTATCGCGGCCACTATCACGTATACCCTACATGATAGTGGCCGTAGCCCCCCCACAACACTGCGGCTGTTTTCATTATCAAAACAAAGGCAGTAGGTCGGTGCTCCCTCCTCCGCCCGTCCACTCACTTGACGGGATACATGTTATAGCCCTCACCCGTCATCCGTCTCGAGCGGATTTCCAATTTCGTGTATTTTTGGGCGAAGACTTGCATGGGACCTTCGGTTCTCGCGGCCTTCATCACGGCCGCGACGGTGGGTACAGAACATATAAGCTAAGTTTGTGCCCCGCAAATTAAAACTCGAGTTGTTTCAAACGTTGTCGATTGAGGAAAGCATCGCCCGTCTTTATGCCAGACACAGGAATGAGTGTGGGTGTGGTGGGTGTGGTGGGTGTATAGTTGGTGTGGTGGGTGTGTAGTTGATGTGGTGGGTGTGTGGTGGGTGTGGTGGGTGTGTAGTTGGTGTGGTGGGTGTGTAGTTGATGTGGTGGGTGTATAGTTGGTGTGGTGGGTGTGTGGTTGGTGTGGTGGGTGTGTAGTTGGTGTGGTGGGTGTGTGGTTGGTGTGGTGGGTGTGTGGTTGGTGTGGTGGGTGTATAGTTGGTGTGGTGGGTGTATAGTGGATGTGGTGGGTGTATAGTTGGTGTGGTGGGTGTGTAGTTGGTGTGGTGGGTGTGTAGTTGGTGTGGTGGGTGTATAGTTGGTGTGGTGGGTGTATAGTGGATGTGGTGGGTGTATAGTTGGTGTGGTGGGTGTGTAGTTGGTGTGGTGGGTGTATAGTTGGTGTGGTGGGTGTATAGTTGGTGTGGTGGGTGTGTAGTTGGTGTGGTGGGTGTATAGTTGGTGTGGTGGGTGTATAGTGGATGTGGTGCGTGTATAGTTGGTGTGGTGGGTGTGTAGTTGGTGTGGTGGGTGTGTAGTTGGTGTGGTGGGTGTGTAGTTGGTGTGGTGGGTGTGTAGTTGGTGTGGTGGGTGTATAGTTGGTGTGGTGGGTGTATAGTGGATGTGGTGGGTGTATAGTTGGTGTGGCGGGTGTGTAGTTGGTGTGGTGGGTGTGTAGTTGGTGTGGTGGGTGTATAGTTGGTGTGGTGGGTGTATAGTGGATGTGGTGGGTGTATAGTTGGTGTGGTGGGTGTATAGTTGTTGTGGTGGGTGTATAGTTGGTGTGGTGGGTGTGTAGTTGATGTGGTGGGTGTATAGTTGGTGTGGTGGGTGTGTAGTTGATGTGGTGGGTGTATAGTTGGTGTGGTGGGTGTGTAGTTGATGTGGTGGGTGTATAGTTGGTGTGGTGGGTGTGTAGTTGATGTGGTGGGTGTATAGTGGATGTGGTGGGTGTATAGTGGATGTGGTGGGGTTGAGGTGTGGGTATAGGCAGGGGCAACGGCTTAGGCTACATAACATGAGGTATTCGTCGGAGGTTCCCCTACCCACCCAGCACCCCGATCCACAAAGAGGTGGAAGTCCTGTCGACTACCCCTCCCCATATCCCCCCCCCCCCCCCAAACACTGAAACAATGGTAACTGGCGCTGATCTGTTAGCCACTGATCCCCCTTTGTCCAGCATCTGGATGGAGACAGAGAAAGAGAGAGGTTTCGCCTTTCACGTAAACCATTTTCCCCCGTCACAGTATCTCTGTCCGGGTCGTTATGAACCTCGTCAACCTTTTCCCGGACACTCGTTCAAGCCGCTCTTGTGTCGACATGGGTCACGAGGGAACGACTAGAGATGATCCCTGGTACTCTCCCCTCCGGACATAACCTCAGAATGAAGAAGCTCTCGTTGTTATAGATTCAGCTACTCGGAACAAGTTCCGAGTAACACGGGCTATGGCGAGCCCACAGCGGACTTAGCTGGCACAGGAGCGGTGCTCCGAAAGAGGCGTCTGTCACAGAGACTACTACTTCTCTAACCCTGTCCATGGAGGACAGAGGAAAATGTATATATGCTGGTTAGCAGTGTAAATGTCTGGCCACGTCTGTGGTAGAAAATAATAAAAAAAACAAAACAAAACAACAAGAACAGAGACTACTCCCATGCACAGGTAGTTGACCAATATAAATTGCCATTCACACTTCCGTGTAAATAAACTTATTTTTCTGGCTTTTCCCTAATTTAATGAAAGGGAACTTATTTTATTAAGACCACTTAATACCTCGTTCGATGGAGCTTTGGCCTCACACACGCGTGGGGATCCAGGGTTCGAATCTCCTAGAGCCCAGGTGAATGGGAAGTGGTCAGGATAAGGATTTGGGATGGGACGGGGGGAAAGAAATGGTGCCCAACAACTTGTGGACGGTCGGGGATTGAACGCCGACCTGCATGAAGCGAGACCGTTGCTCTACCGTCCTGCCCAAGTGGATGACAAGGAAATAAAGAGAGCTTCAACAGTATGGCTATGTTGCACTCTCTCCCACACCACTCCCTACAACACCATACTCAATTATACGGAAGACTTTAACAACGGTGGTGGGTGCGCTGAAGATATTACAGATGTTATCTCCACAGCCATGTGTGCCCGGAGCAACGGGTGCCCGGAGCAACGGGTGCCCAGAGCAACGGGTGCCCGGAGCAACTGGTGCCCGGAGTAACTGGTGCCCGGAGCAACTGGTGCCCGGAGCAACGGGTGCCCGGAGCAACGGGTGCCCGGAGCAACGGGTGCCCGGAACTATGTGTACACATATATATACCTGTAAGACGATATGTGGATGGATATGCTCTCACTAAACTGTTTCTTTGATAGGTTTAATTTTGAATCAATTGTGTTAACTTCTGCTGTCTATCTTCTGTCTCCAGCACAATCCATCTTCTTTCTATTCTTACACTCAAAAAAAAATTCTTTCTACCATACACCTAATTCGTCGGTGCCTCAAGTTTCCCTTCTATGTCCCCTTGTTACTCTGATTTACTGACAGCATCTGCTTTATCAGCCTTATGAATTTCCTTGAGAATCTTGTATGTCGTTATCATGTCTCCTTAATTATATCCCTCTTAAAGTGGTGTGAAGTTCATCTGCCTTAGCATTTCCCCGTAGTTTAATCCTTTTAGTTCTAGTACGTGCCGCGTTGGATACCTCTGGATTTTATAATTTCTTGGGTTTATTTCCATTATCATCGTTCGGGGTTCCACACTGGGTCTATATACTACAGAATGGGCCTCGCAAAGAGAGAGAGGAAAATAGATAGATATATATATATATATATAGAGAGAGAGAGGGGAGAGAGAGAGAGA